TAGAGCTTGTGGGACATCTCCCACTACTCCTAAGCTCTCCTCATCAAGAACAACTTTTTGACGGTGATTATTTAGGATGTAATCTTCCTCCAAGAAATGGGCATTTCGACTACAGAACACTTTCTGCTCTCTTGGGTCATAGAATAAGTACCCTGCAGAGCCTTTTGGGTAACCTATAAATAGGCAACTTGGTTTTAGATTCCAATTTGTCAGCGTTTGTTCTTTTAACATGTGCTGAACAACCCAAAATCTTCAAGTGTCTCACACTTGGTTTCTTACTGGTCCAAAGCTCATAGGGAGTCTTTGGAATGGATTTGGTTGGAACCCGGTTCAACACGTATATCGCAATCTCCAATGCGTAACCCCAAAAGAATGTGGGTAATTTCGAGAGTACGAGAAGTGATCGGACTATATCCAATAAAGTCCGGTTCCTCCTCTATGACACACCGTTTAATTGTGGTGTAGCAGGAGCTAGTTGTGATACTATCCCATTTTACTTTAAGTAGTCCCTGAATTCATCAGAGAGATATTCGCCTTGATCTGATCGAAGGGCCTTAATGTGTCTCCCCAATTGCTTCTCGACCTCTTGCCTGAACTCTTTGAACTTTTCAAAGGATTCAGACTTGTGTCTCATTAGGTACACGTAACCATACCGAGAGTGATCGTTAAATGTTATGAAATAAACGTGCTGGTTACGTGTCCTAACATTCATGGGACCACATACATCAGTATGTATAAGGTCAAGCGTGCTTGTTGATCTTTCAGGCTTACCATTAAATTGCCGTTTTGTCATCTTACCCTGAAGGCAAGGCTCACAAGTGGGAAGATCTTCTACAGTTAGAAAATCCAAAGGACCATCTTTTACCAACCTTGTGATACGATTTATGTTAATGTGGCCAAGTCGGTAATGCCACAGGCACATGGTATTAACTGTATCACGGGTTCTTTTCTTGGGGTTATTATTCGACGTAGTTTCGGTTATATTTGTTTCCAGAGAAGGATGGAGAACATAGAGACCATTCTCAAGTTCTCCATATGCGAGGAATTTCCTAGGGCTGTGGCTGTAGCTGTAACGCTTGCAGAAGTCCCCAAGTAAAGAATCACTTCACCGTCACTCAATCTTCTGCTTGTCCTGAACCCCTGTAATGTGTTAGATGCATGAGTAGAAGCCCCAGAGTCAATACACCAGGAAGCAGAAGTCACCAACATATTGGTTTCTATGACAAAGGATTCAAAATTACCTTGTTTCTTGGTCTCCAGGTACTGAGGACAGTTCCTCTTCTAGTGGCCGGTCTGTTTGCAGAAGTGACAGGCATCTAATGCCTTATCCTTCCTCTGCTTTTTAGGCTTGCTAGTTTTCTTCTAAGGTTTCTTCTTTGCCTTCTTCTTCTTTTTGCCCGATTTGCCACCTTCAACAAGCATGGCAATGGGCTCATCCTTCTTTATCAGTTTTTCGGCCCTCTACAACATATTGTTGAGTTCCTGAAGGCTAACATTTATCTTGTTCATATTGTAATTCATTATAAACTGATTGAAGGAAGGAGGCAAAGAGTTCAGGATGGCATCAACTTTGGTGACATGATCTAACCCAGATCCAAGAGCCTCTACTCATTGATATATCCCATCATCTTAAGACAATGGTCATGAACTAGCTGGTTCTTGTACACTTGTGCGGTCATAAACTGCTTTAGGACCTTTTGACGAGTAAAACGATTCTGCTCTTCATACATTGTACTTAGACTATCCAAGATATCTTTGGACACTTCGATCTGATCGAATTGTTGTTGTGTCTATTTGACACCTAGTGCAGTATCATAATCGAGTCTAGGGGTCAGGTATAACATTCTAGTTTTGCCCATCTATCTCCAAGGTCCAGGGCAGTACTGGAATTTTAGTTCGGTTCAGGGTTTCACGAAAACCCACACTACATGTACCTCAGGTCTCACCCTGGCAGTTGAGACAAGCCACCCCAACCAACTTAGCAGTACACCAGTGTTAGCCTTGGCAGGATAAATCTCTCCAAATCTATCCAACGGTTGTGAAGGTTCTAAACTAACATGAGTCTCATATGTGTCAAGTTTAAGGGTATTACACAGAAACACACCACAATAACATGAATCAAATATGTACTTTATTTATTTACAATAAATGTCATAATGCACATCACGCTGATTGGAGTTTAGGGCATGCATTGTCTAACAGTGCTGCAAGACCAAACCCATTTGATTTGAGTATGAAGCCATTGCGCGGAGGGGCTGTTGTCGGGTAGTGAACAGAGCACTTGTCTGTATCCGAGTGCGTGGAGGGGTCCGCTGTTGCTGCAACTTGCTGCAGCGGCGGTGATGAAACAGGGACGAGGGTGAATGGGGGGAGAGAGAACGAAGGGATGAAGAGAGGAGAGAAAGGGAGGGAGCCCTTCATCGGTGGCTGTCGTCACTTGTGACGGCTGTGCCGAGAGGGAGAGAGTATGAAGGGCTCGTCGCCTAGCCGAGCAGTCTTCGGGCAAACTAATAGTGGCCGCAGTCATTCTCTCTCATTCATCCCCTACTTCGAACGAAAAACAGCGGCGGTGGCACCCCTCCCAGCGATTCTCCAGGCCAAACAGCCCTTCGTTCTGAGAATGTGCAGCGACGATGATTTTGTCGTCAAAAACGCTAAAGAAATCACCGAAAAAACAAGATTTTAATCAAATCACAATACAGTTTGGTGATTTGGGGTGACTAAGAATATCACCAAAAAATAGCTTGGTGAAAGCTTCGTCACCGCTTTCGATGACTACTCAATACCAGTTACCTCATACCAAAATGATTGGAAGAAAAAATAAAGAACGTAAAAAAAAGGAAAATAACAGGGGAAAATTAATGACGATTGGACTTACCTGATCTTGAAATGGAATACTTGAAAAAGGAGAACAGGAGTCTCACAGCGACGACAAACTGTAGATTCTCCGGCAGGCAGAATCTGATGTTATGAAAGGGGTTTTTAGGTGCAAAAATGATAGGGATGTAAGTGCTGAAATCACTGAGTTCAGTGTTTCTTTCCCCTTTTCTGTTTTATTTTGAAAATTTGAAGAAGAATAAAGGGTAAAATAGTCTTTTTCGCCTTTCTGTTAACGGACGTTAACAACAGGGGTAGAGTTAGTCAATTGTCAGAAATAGTAAGGGTAGTGTTAGTCAATTTTCAAACAGTAAGGGTACACTTAGTCAATTAGCTAAACCATAAGGGTAGTTTAAGAAATTTACCCTTATTTTTATTAGGTTAATATACCCTGTGGTTTGACTAAACTACTTAAATATACTCTGATTTTCAAAACTACTTAAATATACCTTTTTTTAGATGGCCCCACTTGACACAAATAGGCGCTGTGTCAATGAAATGTTTAGGGCCATGTACGTGTGATATCATGTATGTAATAAGCTGTAATGGAACTGGGAACAAGAGACCAAGAAAGAAAGAAAGAAAGAAAGAAAGCATGGGAGAGGAAGAGAAGAAACCACCTAACCTGATTAGGAGAGAATAGAAAGCTCAAAACCCTCCTAATGCAGTCAGCCAAGTATTATTAAGCATAAAGATGTTGCAATTATAGAAATACCCCCAGTTACAATAAATCCTAGATAAGAGTGTCCTTTCTACTAAGATAAAAGTTGAAAGAATCACATGTGAGATTCTTTACAACCCGATGGGAGAGGGGGTGGCTCAATCTCTAGACCTATCCCACATGATAACTTAAGAATCACGTGCGGGAGAGGGGGAGGCTCGATTGGAGACGATAAGATTGGTCCAACATCGTCCCCATTGACTTAGAACATCTGGTAGAGGGCGAAATCTGGACAGTTATAGTGGACTAAACACTCTTCCTCTTTACAGGACAATCCCAACTCTTGGTATACAAGACAAGGTGCTCCCTTGTCACCTAGCCTCGCCTTGGTGCCTTGAAAACTATCAGTTGGATTTTAATTGGATAAGATGGAGTCAAATCCGCATCCAATCCGATTATTAATCGCATGTAGATTGCAAAATCTGAATTTGAGCTGGTTATGTAAACAAACCAAATCTAGGATAATCGGATCGAATGTTGGATTAGATCTCAGAGTGCCTTCTTTTAGGAAATGGTTCTCCAAAAAATCAATACTATGGTGTTCTTTAAAGAAAAAGGCCAAATTGGTGCATCTCCCCACATGTTTGTAACCTTTGTTTAAGGAGTAGTGAGACAATGGCTCATCTATTAATCTCCTCCTGTCCTTTTGTTTCCTATATTTGGATTTGGTTCTTCTCTTTCTTTGGTTGCAGGTGGAATCCTCAATTGAGTGTGGTGAACTCTTTTGACTCTAGCTTCTGCCAACAACCAAAGAAGAGGGATAGGGTGATGTGGAGAACAACAAGAGCAGCTCTTTTGACTCTAGCTTATGGTATCAAGTTGGATTAACATGAATTGATGAAACCAGCCCATAGCCCATCATAATAGCAATTTGAAGGCCCATACCAACCTAGAGAGAAGAATGCATTTGGCTTCCCTTTTTGTCAGCCTCTGGCCCCACATCAGTGTGCGTGCTCTTTGAAATAGATAATATTCATTCAAGTCTATAAAATGCTAACTTGTTTATATACAGGTTATATGATTAATGAACCCTTTACACTTTTCATTGTTATTTTGATTTGAGTGAAATACATATTCTTTTTGTGATCAATATAGAATTGAACATCATTCAGGGATTCATTGACATAATGACATGTTACCACATTTTTATTGATAAATCTTAAAATCCATTGCTTTTGTTGTGTTTAACATATTAATGCTTGCTATTTATGTCAGCAGATTAGTTCTCATGTCCATTCATAATTCGTTAAGTGTATAGTTGGCCATAGATGTTAAAAAGTGTTCTTTTTACTTTTTTTTTTTTTAATTTCTTGAGAGTGCACATGTTCCTTTTTGTTGATTTCTTCAATGGTGCTTTGATTTTTGTTCTTTATTGATTTTCACTTGAACTAAATGCTAACAGGTTAGTGAAGAAGTGGAGCGTGCTTTGGCAAAGTTAGGCCCAGCAAGACTTAACGGAAGGTATGAGATTTCTCTGATAGGTAGTAACCTTGATAGATGCATGGTCATAATTCTCTTAAAAGATCTTCGTTTTGTCGTTGCTTCTTATTTGTAGTTTTTGGAACATTTTAATTTGCTGCCTCCCACATCCCTCACACAGAAAGAAACAAAAAAGAAGAGAAGCAAAACAAAATGGAAAAAAATTATGGGGTAAAATCTGTTGTTTCTATGTTTCTTTTGATGCCTATTATATTATTTGATTAAACTGTTAACAGCCTCATCAGTATTGTGCTACACTGTTAAAACTCCCATTTATGAAGTTTGAATATTATCATAGCATTTTGTTTATTTCTATTTTACAAACTCTTAAACTCCTAATCCATTTTCTTTTAATAATAAGTTATTAGTTTGTCAGTACTAACTGTCATGCAGATATCAGTTTAATCATTGTAATGGTAAATTTGGTTCAGGTGCTACTCATATGGGATTGGCTACATGAATCCTGTTTTGCCATTCCATTCTGTTCAGTGGCTTATCATCATTAAGCTGTGGGCGCTTAAATCATTTATTATTATTTCCACCCAAGGCCTTTCAGACCTGCCCTACTTTCTCTCATTTTATCACCTACTGGAGTATGGAGATCCTTGTAGGTTCCTTTTTATGACTTCATTTTAACCCTGTCTTTACTAGTTTTACTACTCATTCGGTCCAGGTGCTTTCTTTTGCTAATTGTTTCTGTTTTACATCCTGGCTGATAGGACTCTGTTGTGTCTTAGTGATTCAACTACTTAGTTTTAACCGGAATCACACCCAAGGAAAAGAGTGGACAATTTTCTGTCAAATATTTTTATTAATTTTTGTTCTTATTAATTTTTGTTTTTATTAAATTTAATTAACTATATTAAGTTTTTAGTTTTAGTGGAATTTAAGTTGGGTTTAAATTAGTAAAAATTAATATAAAACTAATAATTGTTAGATAATTTTGTATTAGTCTTATATTAATTTTAAATGGATATTACTTTTAAAATTGTTTTAGTATTTTTTATTAATTAATTTATTTTTACTATATTAATAAAAATATTTTTTATCAATAACAACAATTAATAATTACTTTTATTTTATTTAAGTAATTTACTAATTTATTTTTTCTATGGTTAAATGAAATATAAACGGATTATAATTTTTATGATGTTTTATTCAATGTTTTCATTTTTCAACCTGTCATTGACTCGAATGGTTGAACTGTTCAAACTGTCACTTGGCCCTATTTCTAATTTTGGGTTTCCTAAAACCCACTATTTTGTCAAAAACCATTGATTTGACCAAAACTTGTTTGACCTGTGCTGGGTGGGTAATTGAACCCTTGACCCTTTTGACCCAATCATTGGATCACAAGTTATTGAAAACTTCTGGAAGACATAACTTTATGCTTGGTTGTCCGATTGGGCAACCTGTGTGATCTTTGCAACACCACTATACAAAAAAAAAACTCAATTTTTGGCCTCAATTTTTAATTTCAGCTCTTTTATTTATGAAAATTAAAAACTAAAATAAAAGTACAAATTATATCTAAAACAATATACATACACACTATAATATAATTATATTGTATAGTATTATACATATACAGATGAATCATTGAACTGTGACCTGGAGGCAAAAACTATTTAGCCTCCAAGTCAGTTTTTAAAACATTGGTTTTATTTGTTGAGTGAAGTAAATAATATTTATTCTAAAATGCAAATTAATTGGTTAATTAACAAATTAACTATCTTTTAAATGGAAGTAGATTATTTAGCCTAATTTTATATCATTTAACATCTCCATTTCAATATAATCAATTTTTATTAATAATTATAGTTTAATGTAAATATATCTGAAGCTAATGAATTAGTGGAGTAATGGATAGGAGAGAGAAATAGTGGCATGAGTTATTGAAGGAAAGTTAATTACATAATTAATGAGGAGAGAGAGAGTTTATGGTGAGTTAATGAGGGGATATAAAAGTCTTAAAGGTGATTGGCCACTTGAGTTGGTTTGTTCAATTTTAAAATTAGAAAAATTAAAAAAAAAAAACTAGAAGAAAGGCAGGCCATTTGCCACTACATTGCAGCTTCTTTTCATTGGTCCAGACTAGAATTATGGGTATTTTTAGTATAAGAAGCTGCTGCCCAGCAACTGTGGAGGAGTTTCTAAAGGGGCGGTACTTGGAGGGATGATTTGAAAAGGGAAAGTTGCTTGGAGTATAATTACGGCAGCCATTTTTGGGTTATTTGGCAGGAAAGAAATGAGAGGGTTTTTCACGATCAGCAGTATTCAGTTGGTACAGTTGTCCAAAAATAGTTGGAAAGTTATTTTCTCGGTTGAGTATGCATAAGCACTTTAAAGGAAGAAACTGTAGTACATTTTTTGCACATGAAAGTCTTTTTATCAACCATTCAGAGGGATGGTAGTGTTATTAAGGAATGGGGAAATTTTTGTAATTTTCCCATTGACAACCTCTAGTTGTACAAGGATTTTATTTTGATATTAATGAAGGCTCCATTTGGAAGGAGTACAAGTACAAATATGTAGAACTCCAAACCTTGTATTTTGTATGTATTTGTACTGCATATTTGTATTTGTACTCCTTCCAAACTGAGCCGAAATGACAATACTTTGCCTTTTATCAGAAAAAAAAAGAAGGAAGGTTAATCATAACATACTCTCAGGTTGTCAGTATGAATATGAATGAAGGCTACATGCAATACCAGCTTGAAGGTTCTAACAGATTAAATAGGACATTTGACTGCCATTTGATGTTAGGGGCATTGGCTGAGAGGATTTTTGGCAAGATTACATAAATGCTTCCTGCTTCATTTCTATTAGATGGTGACTCTACTGTATGGGTGGTCATGTTGGAGATGAAGTGCTAAACTGGTAATTGAATTAGTTTATTGAAGAAAGGCTAAATTAATATAACTTCTGTAGCTGGGAGAAGTTGATGTCTCATCAAATTTATGGTATTCTGGACTGAAATTGCACCAACTGATACTTCATTTTTATCCAAGGGATGCTTTATGTGGGATAAATAAACCTCAATAGCATTTAAATCTCCTAATTCCTAAATTGTCTAGTATTTCAAATCCTTTTAGAGTTCATAAAATATTAGTGAGTGGGCATATAAAAGAGTAAAGTAATATTGACATAAAGCTGATGTTTTTCATGTTGATCCCTTGGCTTCATGTCAAGTGTTTTACCTTATGATTTTTGTGTTTCAGATTCTCATCTTCAATTCCTTGTTTATGGTGTATTTGAGTAGCAGAATTTTTATCTGGTTTTGTTAAGGACTTTAAGGTCAAATACTATTGGTATTAATCCTACACTAGCCAGTTAACAAATTGTTGGTTATTTTTCTTTATGGTTCAAGAGTATTGTGTTACGAGATTTGAAAAACATAGAATTTATGTATTTAATCCATACTTGTAGTTAGCTATATGGTTACATTATTCTCATTTTATTCTATGTCATGGCTATCACTCTGTTAATTGTTCTTCTGTTGATGATCATTATTTGATATATTTTGTTTCTAACTCTTTAGGATTTAAGAAAATGCAGGTCTTCTCCAAAACAAATAGAAGGACCTGATGGGAGGAACTTGCAGCTGCACTTCAGGTCAAGGCTGTCTCTCCCCCTTTTTACTGGGGGTAAAGTAGAGGGGGAGCAGGGCACTGCAGTCCATGTTGTCTTGCTTGATGCAAACACAGGTCATGTTGTCACGACAGGGCCAGAGGCCTCAGTAAAATTGGATGTTGTTGTGCTTGAAGGTGACTTTAACAACGAGGATGATGATGGCTGGACTCAGGAAGACTTTGAAAGCCATGTGGTGAAAGAGCGTGAAGGAAAGAGGCCTCTTCTTACTGGAGATTTGCAAGTAACACTGAAGGAAGGTGTAGGAACTCTAGGAGAGCTGACATTTACAGACAACTCAAGTTGGATAAGGAGCAGGAAATTCAGGCTTGGATTAAAGGTTGCATCAGGCTTCTGTGAGGGTATTCGTATTCGTGAAGCAAAAACAGATGCTTTTACTGTTAAGGATCATAGAGGAGAACGTATGATAAACTCTCACTGTTATCATTGAATTTCTTTGTTACAACACTTTCGCATAATGCTAATATGCATTTTCTTTTCATTCTAGTATACAAGAAGCACTATCCACCTGCATTAAATGATGAAGTGTGGAGACTGGAGAAGATTGGCAAGGATGGATCATTCCACAAGAGGTTGAATAAGGCTGGTATATTCACAGTTGAAGATTTTCTTAGATTTGTGGTTAGAGACCAACAAGGACTGCGAAATGTAAGAATGTCACACTCTATTGTTGGATTATTTAATCCATATCTTTGAGTTTTTTCTCTGATTTTTCTATTTTGTGGTTGTAGATTCTTGGAAGTGGCATGTCAAATAAGATGTGGGAGGTTCTTGTAGAGCATGCAAAGACTTGTGTCTTGAGTGGGAAGCTCTATGTTTACTATCCTGATGACACAAGGAATGTTGGTGTTGTTTTTAACAATATCTATGAGTTGAGTGGCCTTATTGCAGGTGGACAATATTATTCAGCTGATTCTCTTTCTGAAAATCAGAAGGTTAGTATCATATATTCCCGGGTGCGATTTCTGCATACACTACAGGGTTTCATGAAATGCTAGGTTGTTGATTTGGTCTTTTAAATTCAATCCGAGAGCAATCTGCTGGACTGCTATACATTTCAGGCTTCTCTAAGTCTAAACCACCTAATTCAAGCAAAGAATATTTCTGTTCCTCTTTTGTCCGGACTACTACATGAGCAATTCATTCTGACTCGAATTAGAATTGTGATCATGATGGCTCATTTTTTTTTTATGAATATAATTTTTTTTGATGAATAGATCATGATGGATCATTTCAGGTTTTTGTTGATTCCTTGGTGAAGAAGGCATATGAGAATTGGGGGCAAGTCATAGAGTATGATGGGAAGGCACTTTTGAGCTATAAGCAGAACAAGAGGTCAAGTTCTAGAAATGAGCTTCCAATGGCTCCAACAGATTATGCTAATTCATTTGATCAACAAGTCTCTGTACCTCGCCTTCCTGTTCCTTCAGAGCAGTCTTCGATGGATTCAGGCCTGAATGTTGGTGGTAAGCAATTTTTGTAACGTGAATGGTTCGTACTCTGTGTGGGTGGGTGGGTCCCTCATAAGTCATAACATGCCACGACACATTGGTTCACATAAAATAAAAGCATAAATAGATTATTGTCAACCAACAGATATATAATAGTATTTTTTGAATATTTTTCTACTACAAAAGGAACTTTTTTTCCACCTTCCAATTAAATATTGTAAAATCCTAGTTAAAATATTAGGGTATGGGCTTGGTTGAGCATTTGTTAAAATTTGATCTCAGCCTGAAGGCCCAGGCCCGATGCTGTCTAAATTCTTTGATTGGGCAGGAAGCCCTTCCCCTCCCCTTCCAGAAAGCTTTAAAAAAGAATAACCTTGTAAGATGTCGTAAGTTGCACATTACTTTGACTTGCATATGCTGTTTTGAGTTTCAGGATATAATGATAATCATCTGGTCACTGGATATCCAACCCAGTCACAAGTAAACTCCAGTGCTCATATTCAGTTTGACAGCAATTCGTTTGCAACTCAAAGCCAGATGATCAGCACTTCACATCAAGCACAAATTCCAAGAAATGATGACATTGTTGGGTTGGCCTTGGGGCCACCTCAATCTTCAACAACAGGGTTCGAGAATGTAGGTCCATCTATTCAGGCATCAAATGCAACTTATGATGATTGGCCCCATAACCGAGAAAATGGGGGAGTTGAAGGCTTCTTCTCAGAGGAAGAGATACGCATGAGAAGTCATGAGATGCTTGAGAACGAAGACATGCAGCACCTACTTCGTATCTTTAGCATGGGTGGCCATGCTGCTGTAAGTGTACCTGATGATGGTGGCTACTCATACTCGTACATGCCATCCCCATCACCAAACTTTAGTTTTGATGAGGATCGTTCGCGTCCATCGGGAAAGGCTGTTGTAGGATGGCTCAAACTCAAAGCAGCTTTAAGGTGGGGCATTTTTATCAGGAAGCAAGCAGCAGAGAGGCGAGCACAACTTGTTGAGTTGGACGATTAGTGGATATGTTAGTGGGGATTGTTGTGGTCTTTACATGTTATGCCTCAACAGTCTGACTTCCTATTGGACCCCTTTTCTGACCCAAGCTTGGTAGGTTGTAGATGGGTCTTTCTGTCATTGCTGGGGCTCTGATTGAGTTGGAATTGTTATCGGGCAGCTGGGAATCTCTGCTTGTACAGTTCTTGCCTGTACAGTAAGTTTGTTTCTTCTCTACGATCCTTATTAATTGTGTTTCATTCATTAAGATGATCTATCTATCCATCTCTCTCTCTCTCTCTCTCCAAAATTTGCTTTCTTGGTTTTGGGTTCAAGTCCTGGGCTTCCTATGGACCCTTAACAAATGTTAAGAGGCTGATTTCTAGTTCAAACACGTATCTTTACTGGGATGTATTCTGTATGATGAAGTATTTGACTGGTTTCTAGATTAGAGATGTAGCCACCAGATGTGTTCTGATGGTTCTTAAATGTAATTCACGTTTTAATGAGAATATGAAGCAAGGCATGCATGGCAATGGGCACAATAAACTTATATATCTTCTTGGTTAAAAAAATCTTCTATCTTTTTTAAGGTTATGCCATCTGTTATAACTTTTATGTAAAATAATATACACTAAAATTGCTCGAGGACTCCTCGCAGGTTTTCAAAGTGCTTATTTTGCAGTTATAATGGATCTTCTTATTTTTGATAGACAACAATTATAATGCATCTTGGTAATTCAATGCTAAATGCTATGATGGCAGGCTATGGCTCGTTTACAAATTAAAGTAGAGGTTAAGTAATGCTTTGTTTAATGATATTGCTGGGTGCTGCTGATAAAAAAATGTTGGGTGGTGTTTGGTTCTACTGATATAACTACCATCAGTACAGTAGAAAAGTAAAAACGTATATTTGATTTTCCATTTTAAAGTAAATGAAACTTATAACCGGTTAGCTTACGTGACAATTTGTTTTCTGGTACGTAGCCATAAATTTGAAGGAATTTCTCAGTTAGTAAGGTCTGGAGCTGGTTGTAGTGGAGACTTTGTGATCGATTACCACCTTCACACAGCTCTTGTTTGGTGGTATTGATGGCATTTGAAAAGCAGAACAGTATTAATAAATTACTCTGAGAATTTGTTACTTTCTGCTTATTTTTTGACATTTGATTGCTGAAAATGTTCAAAAATTTGAATATTGAGTTCTATGAAATGACACTTGACTATTTTACACTTGGGCTCCATTCGTTTGGTACATTCGTTTAACGGTGAATAAGAGGGGAAAGTTGGTTATCTTTTTCCCATTGATCAACTCAAGGTTCAAAGTATCGTTACGTATCGGTCCGAATCGGCCTATACATATTGTTTTGGGACCCTTCCGATATGTCCCTATAGTGGGTGTATCGGGGGTCTGACCGGTTCAGGGGATGGAGGGGTCCTAGATTAGCTCCTTTGAACTAGTTTTGAAAAAAAAAAGTAAAAAAACAAGTATTGAAACGCTCGATATGCCCCTATTGGTGTATCGAGCGTATCAATATTTTGAACATTGGATCAACTTACATTGTTCGTTTTGCATTAAATATTGGGCTTCAGTAAAGAGAGTTTCATTTACTTAGATAAAATTTATCAATTTTCTAAGTGGATTAGTAATTTTTTCATTTGGGAGAAAAGTCTATAAAATATAATGGTACGAGTTTGACCGTTTTACCATTAGCTTTTTATAGGTAAAAGGTTATTATATTAATTATTTGAGAATGAAAAGAACATGAGCAAGTGAACTTATTGGGGCAAGTGTTACTCAGGAAACATTTACTTGAGTAAATGCACTTATCTGGGTAAGTGAGAAATTTGTAAATGAATATGGCCTTAAGGGGAGAATGTTTAACTATTTAATAAATTGATCAACAATTAATAAAATGATTAAGAATTTAATAATTTTTAATAAATATAAAAAAATTAATAATTTTTATTTACAATGAATTAAACTAATTAAAAATTTAATAAATTGATTAAAAATAATAAAACAATTTAAATGCTAAGTATATCTTTAAAAAGTGATTAAAAATTAACAAAATGATGTATTGATGAAATGATTAAAAACTAATAACATGATTAAAAAATAATAAAACATAAAAAATAAAAAATGATTTTAAATTAATGTGTAAAAAATTAATATTTGATAAAAAGATAATTAAGAAATCAACAAAATTATTAGATAACAATAAAATCATTAAAAATTAAACAATGGTTAAAAATTAGGGTAAAATATAAAAACCTCCCCTGAAGTTTCTCACAATCATAAAAACCTCCCATCTAGTTTCATTTTAATAAATACCTCCCCTGAACTTTTGAAAAACTTGACAAAAACCTCCCTTCCGTCACCTTCCCAGACGGAAAACGTTAAACTAATGTAGCAGTTTGTTCCAAATACCATTCTACCCTTTTAAGCAACTCGTGTAACTGATTGAACTGAAATTAACCCCTGAGTAGATCTAGTAGAAAATCAGCTGGATTGACGAGATTAACCCCCGGCATGTAATCGATAGAACCGAAATATTCGAGTGCCCGAGACGTGCTATCACTGTATATCGGGCACCCATCCGATAACACCACTAGATTATCGAACATCCGGTACAGTCGGGTTGATGGCTGATGTATCATCATCACCACCGTTCTTCCGCTTCTTGCGAGCCCCTGCAATGTTGCCACGATACGCTGAGTGGTGGTGGAGTTGAGCCCCGACGTGGGTTCATCTAGCAACAACAGACTTGGGTTCACCAGCATCTCTTGCTCGATACTGACCCACTTGTAGGTGATGCTGCCGGAGAACTTCCCCGGCGTAGGTTAGCGTCTCCAACACGGTGAGGTGGGGATATAGTACGCCATCTTGTGACACAAACCCTATCTTGCGCTTTATGGAGTCGGAGAAGGTCTGCCCATTGTAGGTGATGCTGCCGGAGAACTTGCCTGGAAGCCTGCTTGCTAGGGCCGTCAAGAGCGTCGTTTTCCCGTTGCCGGATGGGCTGAGCAATGCTAGGAGGTCGCTCGGTTGGACAACCCTAGTAACGTCGTTGAGTATGGTGCGCTCAGCAGGCTTGGGTTCCGGTGCAGAAAACCAACATCCACCGGACTTCTTCAGCTTTATGCTATAGCTCACATCTTCAAATTGCAAAGAACAAATGCATGTATGACGAAATTAAAATTCAATGATCCATATTTAACTTGAGAGCATGAAGAGCATAAGCTTCATCTGATTATCTTAAGTGTGATAGGGCGCAATGACCCACGTAGTAGTGAGCACTGGCCGCCCATGGCTGCCTGCAGCTGCTCAGGCATCTAATCCTCCAAAGACGGGCTGATGTTACTGGACAAAGCAGGCAGCACAGAGCATGGCATGCCCATGATATTGTTCGAGTTGCGGTTCACAATGGGGACATTATTGTTAGACCCATTAGTACTGATTCCAAGCTCTTGCTCAGGGGGACGCATAATCTTGTCTAGAGTAGTCTAGAGAGAAGGTGATCAAGAAAACAAATTAAATGGGTTTGGAAGACAAAGATGAAGTAAGGTCAGACAGACGGAGAGAGAGAAAGACATTTCAGAGGTCGTGGACGTTTCAGCTCTTCCAAACCATTTCAAACAGCGGGTAGGAGGCCAAACGTCTTCTTTATTGTGAAAAAACAAGTGTTAACAAAAAAAAAAGTAAAAACACTCAAAAAACTAATCAGGTCAGCACATGACCCGTCTGATAGTTCGGGTGAAGAAGACGACCTACACGGGTCAGTGAGACTTGTTTTCGAAAAGCCTGAATATGAAATGACGGGTCTAGCCGATCCGGCCCATACAACCAAACCCGTGCATCATACGGGTCTAATTCGTGTATTACACGGGTTGCTTAAAAGTGTAGAATGGGTATTTGGAAGAAACTACTACATCAGTTTAACGTTTTCCGTTTGGGAAGGTAACGAAAGGGAGGTTTTTGTCAATTTTCTCAAAAGTTCAGGGGAGATATTTATTAAAATGAAACTAGAGGGGAGGTTTTTGTATTTTACCCTAAAAATTAATATCATTATTACATGATTAAAAGGTATTGGCTTGATTGAAAATTAATAAAAAAGGTGAAAAGTTAATAAATGATGAAATTTAATTTAATATATTGACTAAAAAAAATAACAAAATGATTATAATATGTTTTTTAACAAAAAGAGATCAATCTTTCATTGATAGCATTAAACTTTGTATAGGAAATCTATGTCGAGGATTATGAAAATGTGTCCATTTTTCAAGTAGAAAAAGCAAGTATTCAAAAAAAAAAAAAAGGAAGTAGATGTGCCACACCTTTCTTGGTGAAGCTTGTCTTCTCTTTTGACTTGCTTCTTTGATTGATGTAACACATCATCACCTGTTCTTAACCTGTAAGACTTAGAACAATATTAGTACTAAGGATTAAAGTATCGGTATTGGACAACTTGAATACGAATGGATACACTTTGGAAACACTTAGATACAGACGAAAACATGGAAACACATGGATACACTAGGAAAATGAATATAAATTCTATAAATATATTACTAACTGTAAGTACATGTGGTTCATCATCATCGCGATTATGGTGACGACGTCAAAGGAAAATCATGTGGAGAAATCTAGGCTGGGACACCCCTATAATGGCACAGAAACACTCCACCAAAAAAAAAAAAAAACAGCAAAAATCTCAAGCACCTACTGTAAGTGTGGTGGTGAGGCTAGATAGGGTGGTCTCCTTGAAGGATGAAGAAGGATTAGGGCCAAAGTCTATAAGGGAAATAATGGATAAACTCCTGCTCCTAGTGAATCTAAGCAAAGTCGGGTAGTAAGGGTGATTGAAGAGAATGTCCCTAGTTGTACTTTACAACCTTTTTTTATAAGGGAGATCCCAAGACTTCAAGGAGAAGGATCCAAAAAAGGGTTTGATTTCTATTAAGAAAGGGAATCCTTGTCTTTATGTCACTTATCAAGGGAACGCCATTGGGGTTTCGCCACGTGTCCGATGAGATCCTCTAAAGACAAAGTTCCCTTTTCCTTGAGTATTCTCACCTAGTACATATAGGCTACATCTCGTCATGGGTTTCCTTGTGGCCACGTGGCAAAGGCGGGATTTGGGTTTAACTGGCGTATTTGATTGTGTGCTCAATCACCCTCGAGGTGCTACGTCACAACTTCCTTGAGCCTTAGGTTTAGGGTGGCTTTTGGGCTCATTACAGGCTTGAGACAGCTTGTTGAGCTCATCACAAGATTGAGATGGCCATTTGGACTCGTCGCAAGTATGGGATGATCTTTGAGCTCTCTTTGGACTTATCGCAGGTTTTTAAATGGCTTCTAGGGCATTATGTATGCATATGTAGTCTTATTTTGACACCTCTAGTGTGATTGGGTTGTTGAGGAACTATATGTACTTATACCTACGATGAGAAAGAGAAGTCACCCGAGGCATGCGATGGACATAAAACACCTTTTTGGGATTTGCAATAAGCATAGAGAAAACATTAGAAACCTGTGATGAGCGACGAACAATAA